GCCAACCACAAGGAAGGAAATGCTAAAGCAATGCCGAGGGCTCTTGCCAACATTTCAGGAATGAATTCTGACTATAACTTGATTTTTCTAAATTCTTCCTAAAGCCCAGTGGCTTGAAATACTAAGTGTTTAAAAAAATAATAATTTTTTTAGTAGTTAAGGAAAATAATAATAATTTTCCCTAGATAGGAGTCCTCTCACCTTCAAATGAAGTTTTGAAGATTTTCTGAAGCAGTCTCTTTCAGAATCAAAAGCAGATCCTGTTCTCAAAAACAAGTATACTTTAAAGCCTTATTTTGATCAAAACAGGGAAATATGAGGTTCAAACTATGTTGGTTTTCACTGGGTATTCTAATTCTAGCTTACTATTCTTTCCATGGATCTTTGTGAAAAATGACATCCTTCAGCCTGGAAAACAAGGCTTCGAGTAGATGTCCTTTGTTCTTTAACATATTATAATCCATTGTTATCTTTTTGTGAGTGGGAGATACACTGAAAACCAATAAAATGTTAAATCTTTCCCTGCATCAAATTTTAATAAAGCTTTCAGTGTAGCTGTCAAAAAGACCATTATGAAAAAGGCCAACATTATCCTATCAGCCTTGATCATTAGAAAACTGAAAAAACAATCCTAATTACAGTAGCATCAGAAAATAGGAGAGCCCTATGAATAACCTTACCAAGAAATGAGAAAGAAAGAAAGAAAGGAGAGAGAGAAACTATGTTTTTAGCTGTGGAGAATGAAGATTTTCTGAAATGAGAGAGTCTTTATATTCAAATAACTATAGTTTTATATAGTTTCAATCATTGCATATAAGACTTTTTTTAATGGATAATAAAATCTTTTTCTACAGTTCATGCCAGCTCTACCACTTGCAAGTTATGTGTCCCTGGGTAAGTTACTTTCTACTCCTTGCCTCAGTTTTCCCATCTGTACGACAGGAATACAGAGATGGTGTTCTGAGGATCAAATGAGTATGTGCCTGGCACACAGTTGGCATTCAATCACAGTTAATACTCCTACTACTGCCCCCCACCACTACCACCATTACCACCAGTATCACTACGGTTTGGAAGAAGGAATGAACAAGAATGAATAAGGCAATTTTTGAAGAATAATAAAAATAATTACCATGGTAATTAAAATAGTATGGTACTGAAGAATCCAACAGCTCAATGGAAGAGAATAGATAATACCTAAAGAGAACAGATAACCCTAAAAACACATTCACAAGTATAGGTATTTTAATATAATTAATGATGCATATTAATTTAATTAGAAATGGGTTATTTAACAGATGGTTTTACTAAACTGGCTAAGTATCTGAAGAAAATCAATTGAGAGTTTCACTGTATAATGCATTCAAAATAAATCCAAAAGGATTAAAAATATAAATGTTTTTTGAAAATCACAGAAGAAAATACACTTAAAATTTTATATTAATTTGGAATAGGAACAGACTTTATGTTAAAGAAAAGAAATCACCAAAGTAAAGTGAAAAAACGAGAAAAATAGAATCAATAAATATAGAAAGGTTATCTGTCTTGTAAAAGGTCTCTAAGTCAAAAAAAAGAAAGGAAAGAACAATGAATGAACAATTTAAAGAAAACATCAAATAAACAACTGAAAAACAACTTCATTAGTAACTAAAAAATGCGAATCAAAGCAAAGCAGTGTGTTTCTGTATAGAAAATTAGTACAGTGCTCAGTGCTGCCAAAAGTGCAGCAAAACAAACATGCTCACGCACTGGCAGTGGGCACAGAGTGACACAACTGTCATAGAGGCCCCAGTAAGACCCCGAAAGCTCACACCCCTCCGCCCAGTACTTCCACTTGGAGACCCTTCCCAGGAAAACAATCACAGCTAGAGAAACAGACTCACGTACAAAAGGTATTTTGTTTAAAGGTCACTCACAGTGCTGAGACATAACGTAAATGCCCAACCCTGAAGGAGGAAGAGTTAAATCAGAGAAGAAAACACGCACCATGAAATATGGTGCAACCATTAAAAACCCCAGCTTTGACTATTTTTTTTTTTTCTCTTTTTTTTTTGAGACAGAGTCTCACTCTTTTGCCGGGACTAGAGTGCCATGGCATCATCCTAGCTCACAGCAACCTCAAACTCCTGGGATCAAGCAATCCTTCTGCCTCAGCTTCCCGGATAGCTGGGACTACAAGCATGTGCCACCATGCCCGGCTAATTTTTTCTATATAGTTTTAGTTGTCTGATTAATTTCTTTCTATTTTTAGTAGAGATGAGGTCTCGCTCTTGCTCAGGCTGGTCTCGAACTCCTGAGCTCAAACAATCCTCCCGCTTCGGCCTCCCAGAGTGCTAGGATTACAGGCGTGAGCCACCGCGCCCGGCCCCAGCTTTGACTATTATCATGTTGTGAGACCATCCCCATGTCCCGCCACCGTATTAAGGGAAAAATAAATCAAGCCTGTAAAACAATATAGAGCATTTCTCTGATTTTGAATGGCTGAATAAATAAACTAGGCACAGAAAAGGATCAGAAACAAAATATGCTAACAATGGCTGACTTGGTGATGAGATTAAGAGTTATTCATATTTGATTTTTATTTTGCATTTTTTTACAAATTTTCTACCATGAGTATATAGAACTTTAATACTCAGGAAAACAATAAATGTTGACTTTTTAAATAAAGACAGACGTCACCTATAGAATGAAAAAAATGAGTAATAGTCAACCCCACTGAGGGCTTTCTGAAAACCTCCCTGAGTTCAGAATGCTCACCAATCGCACTCTATGTTTATTTCTCATGGTGCCCATGATAGTCTGGCTCGGTCTCCACTCTCGCCTAAGGAAATACACCCAGAGCAGCTCTGCAAGGGGGGCCCAGGTCTGGCCTGGGCATCTTCTCAGCCCTGCCCCTGCCTCAAGCTGCATGCCAGCTCCCAGCCACGTTCTCACTGCCCTGCGTGCAAACAGGCACCGCCCTGCTGGCCCAATCAGAGAAGTACTTTTCTTAATGTTTTTTTTGTGTATTTTAAAAAAAACAACTCAAACTTTCGCCCATAGTGAAATTTCTTACACACAATAACTATTTCTTGACTTAGTGTCAGAGTTTGTGTGTCCACAGGTGCAGGGCATTACGAACCAACACATTATATAAACCCTGAATAAAGGGTTTCTTTTACCTGCCTACACGTGATTTTTAAAGCTTCCAGTTTACTTGGTCATTTTGACTGCCAATATGAAAAACCATCGCTTATACTTTCCTATTTTTGTTGCCTAGTTATTTCGTTTTTTAATTATAAAGGCAAAATACTAATTCCTTCTCCTTTTTTCGTCCCAATAAAATAAGTGTCACAGGAGAAAAAATTGTGCTCCAGAAAAGAAATCCATGACCCTGACTAGTGAAAGTCCCACCTGCAATGTGAATGTCTGCATTTGGTAATCAGAAGACAAAAATTGAGAGAAGGATGCATTTCTTTATTTTTTAATTAAAAAAGAGATTGAAGCTCTTGATCTAGTCAGCACACGATCCCTTATATAATCTTGCAGCTAGACATTAGGCACCTGTGTGCACACTCTTCTCCCAGGATTCAGCCTGTTCTGTCTGAGTGGGGTAAGTAAAATCAATTCTTTATATTGATCCGGTGCCCAAAGTCAGGATCTTCACTTGGAATTTCATCTGAAGTACTCTGCTTGTCTTTTGAACATTTAAGTAGAGAGGTTGTATTTGATGGGAGAAGGAGAAAAGTACCATGTTCTCTGTTCCCACATAGCAGCCACAACAGTCCCCAGCACAGGGACAGAAGGAAAGTTCCAGGAGGAAGGAATTAGGAAAGAAGGATGTGGGAGGCGGAGACAGGAGAGAAGAAGCAAAGGAGAACTCGGTGGGCTCTGAGAAGCAGCAGCCTCCTGCCGAAACAGACCAGAAGATACTGCCAGCCCGCTGAAGGTAGAGGCTGTTCTCAGCAGGCTATAGCTAAAATCTTCACCAGCCTCTGGGCAACTACCACCACACACTTTGGCTGAGCTCTGAATGTCGAGGACCAGAGAAGCAAAGATCTGGAAAGACAGTGTGCCCACCAAAGAAAATGGCAAGTGCCAAGGGCCTCAGGCTGGCATGACCCTGACATGTGTGGGCAATGTGATTGAACCAGCATGGCTGGGGAATGGCAAGACGAGGTCAGAGGGCAGCAGGGCCAGATAGCATAGGGCCTTCCAGGCCACTGGAAGGACCTCAGACTCTATTCCTGGCACCATAGAAACCCCTGGAAGGTTTTTAACTGGTCCTTGAGCCAAGTCTGTACCATTCAATTTTCACAAAGTAAATCAAAGTAGTAAGTCTGTAATAGATTAAATGAAACCCACATTCCTTAACATGATCCACAGAGCCCTCCATCTCAGGGCCCACCCACCTCACCAACCTTACCTTCTGCACCTTCTCCTGCCTGAGGGCTCTGAGGTCTAAGTGTTTCTGTTCTGCCATCTAGAATATTCTCCCCAGACTCTCCCTAATGCTTTCTCCCTAAGATTTGGAGACTGAATGCTTTCCCTACCCCCCACCCAAAAACACCATGTTTAAATGTTTGTTAAAAAAGGTAATACAGTGATATAATATGTTAGGTGCTCAGAGAATCTGGGAGGCATTCAGTAACTACTGACCATTATGTTCACATAATGACATTTTCTCTTGCTAAATGTTTGTTGTTCTGTGAAACCAAGTAAGATACAAATGTGGGAAGACACAGAAAAGACCTATCTTTGGGAATGCTGGGAGTTGGGCATCAGAGCCTTCACAATATAAAATATTTATGTGTGCTGAATTTATAGGAATTTCCTTACAGCTCAGAGTGACAGCAAATTTTGTTACATATTCTTACGACTCAATCACTTGAAGACTTTTAAACTATAAAATGCAAAACTGGCTTCCCTTTAAGAGCAAAAGCCATTCTGTTCCCATGGCCAGCAATTCCCACAATGCACCAAGAGCAGATGGGCTCATAAAGCAGAAACCACGTACTCACATTCTTCAAGACGAGAAGCACCAATTGCTCAAACGAACTCACATCAACCACATACTGCCCAACTCGGCATTCGCGTTTTCCAGGTGGAGGGTCTAATCTAAATGAAAAGACATTCTTTGTTGAAAGATCCCTGTATTGACCCTTGGTTTTCAGCTGTACACTGAGCCTCTGGCATTCTGCATATGCTACATCACCCTTAAAAATCACCTACACAAAAAGTGGTGTGCGGAGCTGAGCTGACTCAGTTTTCTCTGCAGTGTCTGCACCTTGCAGTTGTGATGGCAGGGCCGTCCCTGGGCCTCCAGGCAGCAAGTGCATCAGCTATCTCTGAAAAGTGGCACTGGAGACAGGGTTAAGAATCACAAAGGAAAAAGAGTTTATGACTCAGTAGAATAAGTTTTAAGTGAAATATGATTTTTTTATGCTTGTTTTTCACAGGATGGTCTCATTCTCTGTTTTCGTTCCCTGAGCAATCTCTAAAGGCCTGTGATTCTTCAGGACGGACGCGATCGTCTGGCTCACGCCTGTGCCCAGGGAGAGGCACTCAGCCCGAAGAGAGAGCAGGGTGCATCCAAGGACCCAACGGGGTGTTTGCTTTTGGTGAATTTAGCTCTTGTTGAATTGAAATAGAAAAGCTCCCAAAACACAGATGGCAGGACAGCTTAGATGATAAAACACTATAGAAATGAAATATCCGTACCCAACTCTAGATAAAGGCCCCCGAGTGCCGGACAACGTGACGACATCAAATCCTATTCTTCTCCCTCCCTGTCTGACCTCTTCTGTATAAAATCCATCAACGGGCACACCAGAGGACTTTAAAACCTCACTGGCTTTCTGGATCAACGTTGTTTTTCCGACTCCTAAAATAAAAGAAGAAAAAAAGCCAATTAGGAAGTGCTCCTTTGTTAGAGCATGCGCGGCACTTGCGGATTCTGAGAGCGCAATTATGGTGAGGAGAGAAATGGGCTGCAAATGGATGTTATGAATATTAATTTCACTTTAATTTTGATTGCTACAGGTGTTAATTTTTTTTTCTTTGAGACAGAGTCTTGCTCTGTCACCCCAGCTAGACTGCAGTGGTATCATCATAGCTCACTACAACCTCAAACCCCTGGGCTCAAAAGACCCTCCTGCTTCAGTCTCCCAAGTAGCTGGAACTACAGGCATGGATCACTGTGCCTGGCTAATTTTTCTACCTTTTTTAGTAGAGACGGGGTCTCACTCTTGCTCAGGCTGGTCTCGAGAACTCCTGAGCTCAAGTGATCCTCCCTCCTCGGCCTCCCAGAGTGCTGGGATTACAAGTATGAGCCACCGTGCCCAGCCAAGGAGTTAAAAATTTTTAATCTCAAGTAGAAACAAGCATAATAAAAATATGAATGATATCTTCAGTTTTTTTTAAAAAGTCTGAAACATCATTAGTTCTCTCACATATACCATCCCAGAACCAAATGGGCGGTTTTGGGATGACATTCTCAAGTGCAACTTGCATCCTATGGGACAAGCTTCTGTTTTCTCCTAGGTTTACTGTCTTCACTTTTCCACCTAAGAAGCAAAACTGGTCATGCTTGGGTAAGAGGCTTGGCACTTTAGGACTTCAACTTTCAAGAGATTACGGATCTACACTCAACAGTAGGAAAATCGCTTTACTCCTCCCTGGACTTACACTGCTACATCTCTTGAAAATGCATCTCTTAAACACCAAGAATGCCCCTAGAAATGGTCACTTTTAAACTTTTTCACAAGAGTAATCCTATGAGGTTCTCAACCTCTTTGAACATCACCTCCTCTAGGGTCCCTAAGCATTCCTTCGGGTTACCCCCCAACCCCTTCCCAAATTTCAATCTATGCACCTCTGCCCTCTATCCTCCTCACCTGTGACCCTTTTTTTCCTGCCAGCCTCATGTGTTGACCACTCTGATGAACTCTTATGTATTTACAAGCACTGCCGGGTGCTAACTAACATAATAAAACTAATCACTGGCATTATGGGGCCAGACACTGTTCCAGCATGCTTTATAAGCACTGTCTTGGTTAAGTCCTCACACCTACTCTCTGAGGCAGTTACCATCTTTATCCCTATTGTGCAGATGAAGAAACTGAGGCACACAGTGATTAGGTAACTTACCCAAGGCTACACACTTAATAATGACCATACATTTCAATAGGGGCCTTTATCTGTCACCATAAAGTTTTTTTATATGAGCCTTGTTCCCAATAATTAAGTGGCATCATGATTACCCAAAAATGGAAAGAGAGGGAAAACTTCTAGCAGGTCTGCAATTGAGCTAATTCGAGATACTACAGAGCTGCAAACCATGTTATTTCTATGGCTACCCACACAGAGTCAGCAGGGCTCTCCAAGATGCCTTTTAAGCTTCCTCGAAATAAAATATGATTATTCATATTTAATGCATCTCTCCTTCAAACCTCACACTAAAATAATGGCATCTGGCCTTCTGGAACAGGAACAGCAACCCAAGAGCATTCCAGCTACAGCAAACCACAGAGAACACGTGGCTGGTAAGAGAACTGTGCAGAACATAAAATGACAAAGTTCTAAACCAGTTCTGTCCCTCAGTAATGACTGCTTTAGCAAAGTCACCTGAAGGATCTGTTTAATGCAAGCAAGTGGCACTGTTGAAGGGCTAAGCTGGTACTCCTTTGTGGAAGGGCAATTTCAATGTGCCTACCACAACACCTAGCAATTCTATGACTAGGCATTCATCCTCAGTAAATAATCAGATAACAGTACAAAGATGTGTAAATTAAGATGTTCACTGCGGAATTCTTTATAATAACAAAACATTGAAAACAACCTAAATGTTCATCAGTAAGGGAATGTTAATTTATGGCACCATGTATATAACAGCACATAAATACACAAGAATACCATGCAACCATTTAAAAAGAATATGATTTACTTATATTTATTAGCATGGGAAATAGATCACAATATATGAAAATAAATGTGGGGGGAAAAAAGCAGATTAAGTAACAGAAGAAATATGTAGTATTATTCCATTATTTTTTTAAAAAGGTGAAGTATGTATGTGTCTACAGAAGAAAATGTCAAGAAGAATACAGAGCAAAGATTTACAGCATTGATTTCTGTAGGTTGGAATTTCGTGTGATTGTCACTTTCTTCCTTAAAGCTTTCTTGATTTCTTTTTTTGTTCTTGAACGGGTATTACTCTTATTCTAAGAAAAAACAAATGCTATTTGTATTTTGAAAAAAATAAAATGGAGCAACTGTAATAATTTCTGTTCACAAAGGGTGTACTGTAGGGACTCGTACGTTATGTAGAACATAGTATAGCGATAAACAGGAAGCATTTGGGTCAAGTCCCTCTGGCTTCTCCAGCTCTAGAAATCTTTTTTCAGTTAATTTTTTCATCTTCATTAGTTAAGCTGTTACCCCAGTGCTGTCCACACTGGCTAAGAAGTGACCTGTGCTGCAGGAGACCCCCAGATGATAGCTGCACACCCTGCACAGACAACAGCCAATCAGAAAGCTCCACAGTTGCTTTGGTTCTGGCTCTCCCCTAAGCAGACCCTCAGATAAAGATGGAAGTGTAGGTAGTTTAACTTGGGAAGTGACAAAATTATGCGGTGGCAGGGAAGAAAGTCAGGAAAGGGAAGGACATGACCACAGGTGCATTAACAAGCCAGTTACCATCATGGGCAGCTGGAGCTTCATCCCACTGGGGAATCCTAGAAGATAATTTAGGGCACGTGGCTCACATTATCCTGTCTGAGGGGTGAGAAACGGGGAGTTTCTCCACTAACTTCCAACAATCATGGGTTGAAGCCTAATCCTGGGGGACAGGAATTCTTTCGTACTTCCAGTCTTCCCTGTGTGCAGGCCAAGTGTGGTCTAGTGACCAGAGAAAGCCTTCCAAGATGAGTCATAGGTGCGGACAGTTGGAAGTCGGGAAAAATGCTAAGTACTGGGGCACTGAGAGTAGATGCAATAAAAAGTGAACTCTCTGAGAGGCTGCATTACTTGATGGTCTGAACATGTTGAAAAGATTTAGACAGAGGCAGAGTTTGGTACAGAGTTGGTGATAGAAAGAAACCAGGCAAATGACAACACCAGACAGTAACTCCAAACCCGGGAAAAGTGTGTATAAAGCAAAAAGAAATTATAGACTACTACCTGGCTCTGTTGTGATTAGCTTTTATACAGTCATAATACTATAAATAATGGCCACGGAGCTAAAGAAAGTTACACTACAGCTACATCAGGAAGAGAAAGAGGGTGGGTTTGAGGACAGGTTTAAGAGAGCATTTGAGTCTTTCAACTATGTGTACATAAAACTTTCATAAAGAAGGAAGCAGAAAGAGCCAGTGCCAGTACGGTCACGACAACAGGACACCTCTGTTATGAAACACACAGATGTCTTGGGACCAGCCTGCTGAGTATCAAACTGCATTCCAAGTTTCAAATAAAGCGTTGACAAACCAATTTTCAGAAGACAGTTCTTTCCAATATTTGGGAGTGCCTTTGGATATCAGACATTTCTTAAACCATCCTGATCCTCCTAACCCCCTGCATCCTCCCTGCCCCCCATCACCTAGTAAAATAAATTCTAAAGTTTGCAATATTAAGTGTAGCCTTTGCTACCTAAGGCTAAATATAATCATCAAAATAAAGTGAAAGAGAATTCTAGGCCTAGGGTTACAATCTTTGATATCTGAACCCGCAACCAACTTCAAAATTAGACCTGCCCTGCAAAACGGGTAAAGAAATCACTTTCTCCAATCTTAGCTCATCTTTCTTCCTTAGCCTGATGCTGCCACTACCTTTCTACTCTTCTTTTAGTAGCACTTGATACATGGGTAGCGGCTTGATTTAAAACCATCTCCTCCTGCAGTCTCTCACTTGACCTCACATTATCCCATTTCACAGATGAGAACTCCACAGCCCACAGGGAGGGAGCATTGGGAGGGAGCGGTGATGGCTACAAAAGTGGGCGTCTGAGAGGGAAGAACAAGGCTTCTCTCCACCTGTGGCTTCATCCATGGCGGGAATTCAGGGGTGAGTGAACGTGGATGAGTGGGGAGGGTAGGGGGATAAGGTTATATCTTCGGTTCCGTTATCCTTCAACTGAGGTTTCCCATTTCTTTTTATTATGGATGTAGGCCACAAGCCACAGTGACGGGAGCACCTGTGACTATCTACCATCAACAGAAACCAAGCATCTTCGCGTCACATCACGGTTGTTGCAGATCTCAGATAGCGTTTGCACAGACCACAACTGCAAACTACGGACCGCTACCGCGGGATCTTGCCGTTTCGTGCCTTAATAAAGAACCCGAATAGCGCCCTATCACCACTTCATCCTAATTCTATCCATCCTATCTATGTCTTTTAAAATCACGTTTTCTGTGAAGAGTTCATAGCCGTCAGACTACCAGGCCTGTTAAGTTGGGAACTTTAAAGGACAGAGCCCCGGGGCCGGCCGCCCCTCTTCGAGATCAAGGGGCGCCCCCAGTCCGCGCGTCCCTCACCCCCGCTCGGCCTCCCGGAAATGGAGACCCCGGCAGGGTTACCTGGGGGCCCCGTCAGGAACACGTGCCGGGCCATGCGGGTGGACTGGAGTAGAAGTTGCCGTCAGGGTCGCAGTCGGGTGTCGGGGTCGGGGTCCAGGTCAGACCCAGGCCAGGGTCGCGATTCACGCCCCGCCCCCCGGTGGTGTCCCGACCGGAAGCACCGCCCTCATCCCGCACAGGCACCTCCGCCGCCCCCGCCCCCGTCCCAGCCTGGTCCGCGCGTGCGCACTCCGCCCTCGGCCTGTGCGCTTGTGCAGCTCCTGTCCATAAAAGCCCGGGAGGGTGGTGGTCCAGTCCCCGGAGCCAGGGAGTCCCTGTACTCTTGACCTCAGTTCCGGGCTTTTGTGAGTGTTTGCAAAGATAAGTACATGAGAGTGTAAATTACTAAACCGTTGCTGCTCTACGTGAGCGCCACTATCCAGCTTCTGCCTGTGGGACCCGGACCTGGGAGCTGCATTTTCCCAGGCTGCAGGGACAGCCTTTCTGTAGAAGGGTCCGGGAAGCATCCTCAAATAGGGACCTTGCTAATGATTCCAAGTATTTGCCCAATGTTCCAGCCATGGCTGCAGAGTAGAATCACTTCGAAATTTTTAAACTTGTACTGATGCCTGGGCTCCACCTCCAGAGACACAGATCTGTCAAAAGACAAAATTACAACAAATTTAAAGATCCAAGTGGCTTTTATTTACGATCTAGAATCGGGTAAATACCTCATTATATACAATAAAATATAAAATAGAATAAATGTGCCAGTGAGGTGAGCAGAGGAGGTTGGCTTTATGTGCAGAAAAGGGCTGAAGAAAGTAGAAACAGAACAAAAAGCAGAGTGGTCATTTCAAAGTTATTTCCTTATAGGACGGGAGAGGACTTCATTATTACACTAAGTGAGATTGACTGGAATCTCTGTTTTTTTAGGAAAGCCAGACTTTCCATTTTAAAGTTCAGTTCGATTACCTGGCACTTACTTAGCACAAGTGACTCCATCCTGGTTTGGTCTGGTCTGCAGGGGCCCAATGCAGAAGACTGGTCCAAAACAATGATCTCCCAGAAGCCTTGTTTAACAGGAGTAAATTGGTCTAGGGCAGTCCTGAGCATGCGTATTTTTTATTATTATTATTTTTATTTCTAAACTCCAGAAAGTTTGTAAAATCCTCTAGGGTTGAGAACCACTGGTGTAGGCAGACTGCCCATCTTCAGCCATGCATAGGAAGCCAGTGTCCTTTTTTTACCTTTACCCTGAAGTAAAAACCAATGCAAGACTCAGCTGGAGGAACTCCTCTCACACCTCACTTAACCATTTCAAGTGTTCCAGCCAAGGAAATGAAGTGGCAATGACCTTGGGCCAGATTTACCTGTAAACTCTTTCAGTCAAACATCTATACAGTTTGACTTAGGAGCAATTGTTCTTCATCCTGGCCAAGAAAGCAATTCAGTAAGTGCCCCGCTTAACTGGTTTGTGCCCACACATGGACCTGCTAGTTTCCCATTAGCCTGCAATATTTGCCAGTCAGATGGCTTCAGTTTCTTGCTGCTTAAAAAAAAAAGAAATCTAAAAAAAGAAAAGTCAGATTTGTATAATATAGCTGTCACCGTCATTTCTGCATTTATAATGCTATAATATTATAACAGTACCTTAGTATTTTTTATCCCAACTGCTAACATGAGGCCTTTTCACCTCTGTTATTTTACACCTCGCTGCAAATTGTTAACTATAAACAACTGATGTAGCAAAACAAACCCATAGAAGGAGCTTCCAAAATAGGAAAGACAGAAAACCTGTATGTAATCATAGGTATCTCTCGTATCAAAAATATTAATTTTAAATGTTAGTTGTGTAGCACTGTCCATCTCTAAAAAGTTTAGATTTACAAGGGTCACTAGAAATTGGGTTGTTTTCTTTTGATGCTATCCCTGGAATTCTGGCCTTAGTTTAAGTAGCTCAAGGATACATAGAATCCAGATGTAGAGAATTGATGTCTCAGACAACAGAAATAAAATTCTTCTGTAATTGGATGTTTTTAATCCATTAAAAACTAATTATTTGGGTGGTGTTTACATGGGTATCTTCACTTTATGATTGAATACTTTTAATTTGTACAGTTTCCTGTATGTGTTGTACATCAATAACAACATAGGTTGAGTACTTTATTAGAGATTAACAACAAAAGAGAGGATGGCATAAATAGGAACAAATTTTAAAATGAACAGGATATTAAGTACTGTACCATGCTGAATCTAACTTTTGCTTATCTAATCACCGTCCTGTGGACTGAATCTTTGTGTCCCCCCCAAATTCATACTGTTGAAATCCTAACCCCCAAGGTGATGGTATTAGGAGGTGGGGCCTTAGGGAGATAATTAGGTAATGAGAGTGGGGCCCTCATGAATGGGATTGGTGCCCTTACGAAAAGACAGGAAAGAGCTTTCTTTTACTTTCTCTCTGCCGTGTGAGAGTACAAGGAGAAGACTGGCACCTGTAGACTAGGAAGAGGGCCTTCACCAACACCCAACCTCCGTGTAGGCACCCTGATCTTGATCTTTCAGTCTCCAGCATTGTAAGAAATAAATGCTGTGTTGTTCAAGCCACCCAGTCTATGGTACTCTGTTATACTGGCCTCAGCTAAGACACAAGGTAGAATTACCTAGGAAGAAGTGATTCCAGTCCTTTCTTCCTGTAGCACCTGGGTGCAGCCTCTGTTTTGACAGGATACAGTGCAGTTCTTTATTAAAACAGTTTGTGAGCACACCCCTACCCTCTCTACAAGTATAAAATCATCGAAAGTATGAAAAACACTTGCGTTTCTATATCTACCCTTTGCCCAGGACCCTTCTAGTTTTAAAACTGTAAGTTCCACATCTTAGGAGCCCCCTCAATCCTGGGCAAACCTGGATGGATGATCACCTCCTAGTTAAAGGACAGAGGAGCATTTGGGAGATAAAGCAAAGGTTTTATGAGGGTAAACAAGCCATTTCCTTCCTACCTGTCAAGGGCTGGTAGTTCACTGTGAGCTGGTTGTCCTGTCATTGGTGGTAATAGAAGGCCTATTTAACACAGTCTGTACCTTTAATGCTTTCATGCATTTGACAAATGATAATAGCTAACATTTACGTAGTGTTTACTATGTGCCAGGCTCTGCTCTAAGACATTGTAAATTCTATTAATTCCTTTAATCATCACAAAAACTTCACTTTATATATGCAGAAACCAAGGCACAGAGAGGTTAAAGGACTTGCCCAAGGCTGCCGTCCATCCATCCATCTGTATGTCCATGCACATGCATATACATGTATAGTCATGAGTTGCATAACAATGCGATACTTTCTGAGAAATGCATCTTTAAGTGGTTTTGTCGTTGCGCAAATATCAGAGTGTACTTATGTAAACCCAGATGGTACAGCCTACTATACACCCGGGCTATATGGTCTAGCGTATTGCTCTTAGGCTACAAACCTGTACAACATGTTACTGTACTGAATACTGCAGGCAGTTGTAACAGAAGGTTAAGTATTTGTGCATCTAAACATAGAAAAGGTACAGTAAAAATATAGTATTATCATCTTATGGGACCACTGTCATATAGGTGGTCTGTCATTGGCTGTGTCGGGGGGGGGGGGGACCAGAGTCTTTTCTCTCACCTCTACACTGTGCTTCTGTTCACTGATGCAGCTTTTTTTTTTTTGAGACAGAGTCTCACTCTTTTGCCCGGGCTAGAGTGCCGTGGCATCAGCCTAGCTCACAGCAACCTCAAGCTCCTGGGCTCAAGCAATCCTTCTGCGTCAGCCTCCCAAGTAGCTGGACTACAGGCATGCACCACCATGCCCGGCTAATTTTTTCTATATAGTTTTAGTTGTCCAATTAATTTCTTTCTATTTTTAGTAGAGACAGAGTCTTGCTTCTTGCTCAGGCTGGTCTTGAACTCCTGAGCTCAAACAATCCGCCCACCTCGGCCTCCCAGAGAGCTAGGATTACAGGCGTGAGCCACCGCGCCCAGCCTGATGCAGCTTTTTAACTCCTGTTCTGAAAATAGATCGGGGGCAATATCACAAAGCAGGAAGGGTCACACGAGGACTGCAGACATGGTCCATTGGCTGCTTTTCCCTTATCACGCTGTGATCAGAATTCTAAAATAGTTCTGTGATGGCTACGAGAACATAGATAATATACAGACTCTCTCTGCCTGATTTAATCTCATTCTTCTCCGTAGGGCTTTCCAGAGTAATAGTTACTCTTACATATGTCCTCATAGATGGGCCAACCTGGAGAATCCTGGATCAATCAGTGATCGAGTCTCACTGTCTCACTCCAAGTCACTTTGGGTGTGAGGCTGTGTATCCATGGAGGGACACTGCCATTGTCCTCATGCTGAAGCCGAGTCTGCTACATTATGAAGTGTCTGTCTTCAGATGTGGGCGTAAACTCAGTGGTATTTATTCTGGGTGCATTGTCTTGCCTTATAAATCAAATGTAGAGGAAATGAATTGCTTTTTAATTTGGTCAGACTGCGTCATCCCCAGCACTGTTTGCACAGTGTAGCTTGGGCAGAGTGGCCTGTCAGTTTTAACGAGCTGTGTGCACCCCCACAGGAATGTTGGCGCCGCACACTGCCTCACTTGCCCTTTTGTACGTTCCTACTTAAGGGGACAGTTTAGCCCCATCTGCCTGACAAGCTGATAAAGTCTCTGCTGATTGAAAATTAAGAGAGAATTTTAGGAATCATTCACTTTTCCTTTTATTGTATATCATTCATCTTCCCAGAGGGGGCAATGTGCATTGACTTCTCTGCTGGGTCAAATTTCATCGTCCCCAATTCACGCCATGTGTGGTCTCAAAACATGTGGCGTGGACATATGATGTATTAATTTGTGACTGACCGATAAATAATTTGGGACAATTTAAAGCAGGTTCTGTCCTTCTTCCCCAGGAACAACTCCACACGGGCTAGTGAAACAAAGACTCTGGATTATCGATTTCTGTCACCCCAGTGTGAAATAAAGCAGATTCTTACAGAGATATGGACAGAGCCTGACCCATCCAAAGATCCCTACGTCCAGCCCCTCACCTTATTTCATAACAAGACTCCAAGCCGAGGCAAGATCATTGTAAAGAGTGGTTGGGAAAAGACTCAGTGCCCCACCCTGTTGACTGCCTCGCAAACCCTTACATT